CCGCGGGGGACCCCGCAGCTGGGTCTGCTGCTTCACTGGGGCCCCTGCGGCCTTCGCCGAACTTCACTCCGAGGCCCAGGGGGTCCCCTCGCCGCGGCTGCAGCCGCCGCAGCAGCCACGAGAGCCACAGCTCCGCTGCCTGCCGCGCCAAGTGCGCAGCCACGCGCGCAGCCGGGTTGCTGCTGCTGCTGCTGCTGCTGCTGCTGCCTGTCCCGGCTGCGAGCGAGTCCTCCAGGACGCCCTTTGGGGGCCCCCGAACTGCAGCAAGAGGGTCCTCTCTGCGGTACAGAGCGTCGTGCAGCTGCTGCAGACGGTGCTGCAGCGGGATCCACAAGGAGGGCCGGTGCATCTCCACACAGGCGCAGCCCTCGCCGCCAGTTGCTGCTCCCGTGGGCAGCCCCACAAGCCGGGGATTTGCTATGACTCCCAGAGTGAAGCCTGGGGAGCCATGGAGGGGCTTGGAGGCCCCCCCGCAGGGACCATTGCTGCAGCAGGGGCCCCAGGCGCTGCAGACGGGGGCCCGGGGGTTCGAAGGACTTGCTGCGGTCCGGCTGCTGCTGCTGCTGCTGCTGCTGCCTGCGCAGCAAGTCTGCTGCTCAGCAGCCGGCGCTGCAAACAGAGACTCGAAAGAGAAACGGGCCCCCGAAGAACCCTCAAGGGCCCCCTTCAGCTGCGTCTCCGTCATCCTGAGAAGACAAGAAAGAAAGGGCCAAAAGCCGCTGCCCTGGAGAGAAGACAGGCTGTCACACGCTCCCTGCAGTGCAGCGGGGTCAGTGCCCAGGCTGGGGAGCTGTTGATGCTGCTGCTGCCGCTGCTGCTGCAGCCGGCCGTGCTTGTAGCGCCTCCTGGCGAAAATCCCGCAGCGCTCCCCCCAGTCGCTCTCCCCCACTCTTGCTGCTGCAGAGTTTGCAGCCCCAACAGCCCTCAGGCCACAAGAGCGAATGCCTAGACTTTCGAGGATATGAGTCCCCCCATCTTCTGCTGCCAGTGCGTCTGCAGAGACGGGGCCCCCCGGGGGGGCCTCAGGGGGGCCCCCTGCGGGCAGCGGGCCCAGCTGCAGCTCTCCCAAGGGGCCCCCCGCCGCCTCGAGCTGGAACTGGCAGCCCGGCAGCAGCTCGGCCGCTGCACTTCCGTGGGGGGCCCCCTCTTCGACGCCCCCGGGGGCCCCCTGGGAGGCCCCCCGCCTGGGCCAGACAGCCCGGGTCTCGTGCAGAAGCCGCAAGACCAGCACTTTGCCAGTTTTGCTTTCCTCCAAGACCTGCAGCAGGGCAGCAGCGAAGGCCTCCTGCTGCGGGCGGGGCCTGCTGAGGGCCAGCAGCAGCAGCAGCAGCGTCTGCGGCCGCGCGCTGCTCAGCACCACGCGCAGATTCTCGGGAGTAGCAGCAGCAAGTGTTGCAGTTACTCCTCTCTTAAGAAGCCAGCTGGCTCCCTGGGCGTCGAAGAGGGCCTGCACCAGCACTGGGTCTCCCGCGGCTCTCGCGCTGCAGCTGCTGCAGCAGCAGCAGCCAGCAGCAGGCGGCGCAGCGCAGAAGTAGTACAGGAAACTCCGCAGCAGCCGCGGCCCCACAGAAGCCAGCAGCTGCATGCGGCCCCGCAAAGCCCCATGTCTGGGGCTTAGCAGCAGCCTCAAGGTCCCCAGCACGCTGTACATACACTCCGCGCGCCCCCGCCACTGCTGCTGCGCTGCAATCGCCGCCGCCCTCTCTGGCGCCGGTAGCAGCAGCGCTGCTGCTGCTTCCGCTTCCGCAGCAGCGGCAGCAGCAGCAGC